AAAAAATAATTATAATATATTTATATTTTAAAAAATTATATGTAAAATTTTTTATACTATAAATATATAAATAAACATTATCTTCACTATATAAAATTTCTGAATCCCTCAATGTATATATATATATATATATATATATATATATTGAAAAAACAACAACAAAAAATCACCATACGCCTATTAATATTTTAAAATTAAAATATTTAATAATCAAAATATAAATTAATTAAGGTGTTAAAATTTAAAATCATATATCATAAAATCATGAAACAAACTTAAAAGTTCCACGACTCACATATATAAATAAATATAAGTATATAAAAATAGTATATCATTATATAATAAAAAAATCCACCACTGCACAATTATAAAAATCAAATAAAAAAATATCGGCAACATTTAAAAGAAATTACTAAAAAAATAACATATAAAATAAAAATTTAATTAATTTAATTATTAGTTTAGTAATGTAATATTGTGTATTTTATTATTAATTATTGATTTTATTAATTCATATATTGTTATGATTTAGTGGTTAATTAGTTGTTGAGTTAACGTGTATAAAACAACCAATATAATCTATATGGGGTAAGATAAGTATAAAATGACCAAAATCACTGAGGTACAAGATTATGGGCCAAAATTTCAAACTAAGTATCAGAAAAAGCGTAGTATTTGAAGGGTAGTCGACGAGTTAATTTCACAGGAAGTTTAGCTATTCATGCTAAGGTTGTGGTAGGAACACATCAACTTGTTCCACCCTGATAAGAAATTAAGAATATTAGACTTTCCTAGTTCAAGTATCAAAATTTGATAAACCATGTTGTATTGTTAGTTGGTTTGGTAGGATGAAGTCACTTAAACTGCTCATTGTATTGTAAGAGATTTCTTAGTTGAAAATGCTTGAAGACGCATTTAATTGATGTGCTATGCATATGATGTGTTAACTTGTTGTGTTATTCATATGTTATGTTATTATTTTGAGTTGTAAAGTTGATCTGTACAATGTTAAGTTGTTGCCTTAAAGAGGTTATTGAATCCTAAGTTGATATATTGTTATGTTGTACAATAAGCACCTTGTTGAATTGTGATGTGTTGTTAAGTTGGAAAAACATGTATGAATTGCATGATGTGATTTATATGTTGATGTTGGTAGTATAGTTGTAGTTTTTCTCCTATACTTGTTATGTTTTTTTCTTTTAAGTTTATTCCTACATATTTCCTTGTTATGTGTTGATCATACTTAATTAAATCACTGTATATGTGTGTATGCACACGCATGTGTGCATGCGTACATGAGTATGAAAATATGCACATTCAAGATATGTGGTATAATCCCATTAGAGAAGTGCCTTTATGTTTTTAGTACATATCCATGTATATATAATATTGTATTTATATTCAAAAATTGGTTGTATGGTAATTCTAATTAGTTAAATTTATATTTTCTGTTACTTACTGTTAAACTGTAAAATATAAGAAGCTGTCAAGTCATTATAAGAAAAAGGAAACATGTAAATAAAAATATTGTTAACAATAAATAATTATAATTTGTTTTCCAATTAAAGTTAATATTTATGTTAATTTGGATGAAGAAATATAATTGTAAAATATTTAATTTGAGAGGGAAAATGAAAAAAAAAGAAAACAAAACAAAAAAAAAGACACACAGTTTATATATTTTGTCATGGCAGGATTCGAAGGTAGGTCTTTTCATAAGACACATAAGTTACTCTACTTCTATAAATTATCTTAGATAGCTTCACATAAAGTAGGTCGACTTTTCATAACATCTTTGTATGTACAATCAAAATTAATACCAAACTTCTGTCAATAGATTAAAAAAAAATAATCAATTATCTATTAAACGTATTTGACCTTATCAGTTTTCCCTTCCTCGAATTATCCAGTTAGCATGAATCCTACCAAAAACATACACCTTATTTTATGATTTAATAATATTTCATCTACACAAATAAAGATGGCAATGCTATTTAATATATTGTTGGAAATATAGGTAGAATTTACAAAATTGAAAAGATAAAACCCACTAAGACTAAGTAATGACCTTGGATGTCATGTACTGTATGAGCGGGCCTTTTTAAATAATATTAATCTCATCTTATATCATGTGATATGATTAATATTTTAGCAAAGAATGAATGCAAGTAAGTTCCACTGAGTTAATAAATTAAAAATGGCCGAACGCCATCAAATAATGGAAATACAACGCATTAATTCCTGTAGACTGCTAGTAGTGCTTACCTATGTTAGGGTTTATTTTGCATGGTAACTCATGTGTAATGAAGTAGTGGGTAACATACATTGTTGAAGAGTCAAATATTTGTGCTGAGAGATAAGCGTGAACGGAAAAAGGGTAATCCACTAGAGAAGCAGAAAGAGATGGGTGGATCCCGCAATCTTCCAATTTTCATGTGATCCTCCACTACATACCATATACTTAATTTCATGTACCCCATTGTTAAGGCTAGTGATACATAGCTGGAGCTATAGGTAAAGGTCCATGCCTTCAAATTCAAGCAACAACTTGGTGTATCTTTGTATTGGTGTTAGATCCCATCTAAATTCACGTTCTATTAAAACTCATTTTTTGAGTCTTGAAAAATGAGAATTTCTGTCATGAACCAAACTCTTTTCCATACACATGCACTCTTAATTGACACTTGAGTTGAGACCACCATCTTGTGCACCTTTCCGGTTCTATTAAAACTTTTGATGTCCCGATTCACACATGTCCACCTACATATAGGTTCTTCTTCCGACGGATTAATGTTAACATGAAATGGATTAGAACTGGTGCTAATCTATAGGGGTGGAGAGTGGATTGGTTCGTTATCTTCTATTCATAATTTATGGAATTATAAATAGAAAGTAACCAATTATATTACCTGTTTAAATACATCACTAATGCATCTTATTCGAATTGTGACTTGTATACATATATTTGGTACCTAGCTAGTACCAATTTAATATATATTCTCTATTTGCTGGTTAGAAGGAAAAAAAATGAAATGTCCTATGAAACCACATGGTGAACGCAAGACGGTAACTTTATTTGGTTTGATTTCATATATGTATTTATATGAAGGAAAACAACAAATCATAAACAAATTAATAAGTTGTTTTAAATTTGTTTATATGATAATATATAAATTTATCGGATTCATCTATTTTCATCATGATGCCGAAGAAAGAGCAGTTCGTTAATTTTTGGATGGAAATCACTCGATCAATTTCCAAAATCACTTCAATGGAGTGGAGCAAGTGGCCTCACAAATGATCATTATAAGGGTCTTTTCCCTTTTATGTTTGAATCTAAGGGGGGCGTTAATTTGTATACAAAATCTTTTTTTTTATTTTAAATTGAAATTTTTATTTTTATTTTATATGTTTGGTTCCTATTTGAAAATAAGATCTTCTCAAGAATTATAATTTCGGAAGAACAATTTTTATCCCACTTTTTCACAAAAATATTTTCATGAAAGTTGAGAATTTATCTTTCT